CATCACTGCAGAGGACAGAAGCCTATATGGAAACTCTGTCTTGTCTGATTTATAGCATCCACTGCAGTACCCTGACTAGACATTAGCACCACCCCACTGAAAACAAACTTGCTGATCATATGTGTGATGAAACCTACATCGCAAAAACACATTTGTCTTGGTCCGATTTTGACATTATGACCATGTGCACAGGTGTCCTGTTTCCTTTCCTTCTCACTGTTTTGATTCAGCTACTAACTGGTGAAAAGCCAGTGAAGAAAGTAATGTGAGGAGCCCATGTCTATGAGTGGCTCAGGATGCCACACACTCGTCTGTAGCTGCTTTGCAGATAAACACCGCGTCTGAATATGGGACAATTTAGACAAAACACAAGAAGGAAGTTTGATCTGTTTATGTCAAATACTGTAGAAAGTTTAAAAAGTCCAATAATTTCATGTTTATTTACACTCATGTTTAATATGTGTTGCTTATTACAGTACAGCCAAAAAGGATTGTGTAGCTGAATAAGAATTTTACAACAACAGGTCACAGAATTGAAAGATATTGCCTAAACATGGCCATGTGCACGTCTTTTAATAGAGTGTGCAGTGTGTGACAGTAGTGTCAAATGCACATTAGCCTTCCGAACCTATAAACATATACTTACAAACAGAGAGAGCATGACGTGTCCATTTTACTGGCCAGAGATTGGCTGGACAATCATCAAAAAAACACTGTCGACTAGCAACGTGGCTAATATTTACCTCATGTCTGTCTAGCCAAGCACCACTCAGTGTACATGTTAGCGTGTGCACATGTGTTTAACCTGACTGTTCCACCTAACCACTGAATATAAACATGCTGTCAAAATATAGTCAACAAAATAAGAAGAAAGGCATAAAGACACAGACAGAGAGAGAAAAATGGAAACACAGAGGGATAAATAAAAGGTATTTATCCGCCCTCTGCGCCGCAGGAATGTAATCTTGGCCCATAACGATGTAGTAACACAAAAAAACCCACTGCAACAGCGCCACTAAGACAGATATAACACACATACACACACGCGTGCATATACACATTTGGTCTCTTCTCCTCAGAACTCAGATAAGATGATAGTAGGTGTGTCAGGTAGACAGAGTATAAAGTCTATGCTGTGTGGAAGTGCATGTGTGAATTCAAACTGCTCCAAACTACGTGTTTACCACTCCTTTAATTAATGATATGAACGGCAGTTTTGGGGGGTAAACAAGGACCTGACGCTGCTGGTGGGTTCAAAAAAAGTTCACATTTAATGTTACTTCTGCCCCCCCCCCACCCCCCCAAACTCACTCTACATGGGTTTTTATGTGAGTGTACATGTGTGTGGGTCTACCAGGGTGTAATGTGAACCATCCTGTCCAGGGATGGGTGTGGCCTGAAGCAAACGAGGCATAAACCAGACTGAGCGGGAAATCAAGTAGGAGCTACCAAGGTGGACTAGAACAGGCTTGCACCAAATGAAAAGTAGGATGTTACAGCACTTGAAGTAAGTTAGCAGTTTACCTCCGAGTGGGTGGAGTGGAGCTGCACTCTTACAGTTCATTTACTGCAGAGAGTAACCTATATTATTTCAGAGTCATTCTAGTATAAACTAATGAAGCGGGCATTACCTCTCTTGATTCTGCAACCTGAGCTGACTATTATACTCCAACTTGATTAAGAATGCTTTAGGGAAGCAAACAGAGAAGACAAGTGATTGCATCAACTCAAGGTTAAAGTAGGTTGCTTCCTGGACACACCATGTGAGTTTCATTCATTCATTCACCTTCTACCACTTAATCCCTGAACGGGGTCACGGGGTGTGAGTTTCATACTCTCCTATTTATATTTTTTATCAGATAACAGGGCCACTCAAATCAGCACATGCGGCTTCACATGTTCCACTTCTCATAAGTTATTTTGTTTATATTCGAGCATATCTAACTATTTAGTAGGGATGGAACGATATGACTTTTTCTCGATTATGTAAAGAACAACCAGATATATTGACTTACTCTTATTTACAACAAATATGCAGTCGCTGTACCGTGATGTTTTTGTATCGTGAAATATTGAATTTCGATATATTGTCCCATCCCTACTATTTAGCTATACAGTGTAGCTGTGTATTAAGCTGTTTATACAAATTTAGTGCCAGCATATCATACCTAACCCGTCCGCTCAGTAGTTATTCATTAATAGGCAAAGTTACAAATCAGGGCGTCCAGGCAGCCATTATCCTTCTCCAAATATTTACCCTGCTTCAACATAGCTGAGCTGTCTGTGCTGCACCAACCAGATACACAGGCAACAGAGAGGTCTGCACTCGCAGGTTTAAGGCCAAGTCTAAAGCCAGTGAACACCCACACATGCACAAACAGATACGCATACACAGCATAACTTAGTTTTAATTCTGTGGCCTAGATGAAAACTCATTTCTGACTGATTGTCTTGCTTGAGGGTACATCATCCACATCTGATTACTGCCACGACCATCAATTGCAAATTAACCGTTTCTGCTATTTCTGGTACAAATATATTCCCTGGTGTAATTCCCTCATCATGGACACTACAAGCATGGTTTAGCAAAGGATATATGTATATGTGTGTGTGTGTGTGTGTATGTGTGTGTAAAAGGAGGGCAGAGAGAGAGTGAGTAGCTGTTGGGGAAATGACTGGGTTTGGGTGTGACCCACTCAGCTATGCACTGGTGATCATGTGAGACCTGTTCTAATTATACACGTCTCAAGAAGAAGGTCGATCCTTTCTCCTGTGCAAAGAGTGTGTGCACGTGTCCAAGAGGGTGCGAGCCTAGTAATGGGGAGCGATATGACTTCATATAACACAACTAAATTGAGAATGTGTCCAACGTAAACCACTCAACTTGTGTTAAAGTGAAGTAGGACAAGTAATATTTGTGGGTTTACATGTCAGGAAACTCCCACCAATGTGGAGAAAGTGTCTGTGCCCGGTTTAGGTCTGATTTGCTGGTGTATGCATGCAACTAACAAATCAACAGCCTTCACTTCTATCTTCCACTCTGTCTTTGTCTCACTTTCTGTCTTGCTCTGTCCTGCTGTTTCCACTGTGGGTTTTAGAGACCCACTCTGTTTTTCATCACCAGTGGAAAAAAAATGGGGCGATGGTTAAAAAAAGAATCACCCATTTCTAATAATACACAAGTCCTAGTGGAAAATAAGACCAAACTATTAAATAGGTCCCTTGGTTCTTTCAAATAGCCTGATATATCTGCCAGCTACTCTTCCAATTACTGACATGTACATCAGAGTGAATGACAATTTATGTATTAAGATCCTTCTTCCTGTTGATAGCACCACTTTATCTGTGAATGTGCTCAGTGTATTGAACTGAAGAGCCGATGACATCCACATAATCAGAAAATTGTTTGTATATCATGTTTTTTGTAGCATTTGTGTTGACATGAAACGATTTAAAGTATTGTTCCAGTTTCATAAAACAAAGGTTTCCTGCTTCTATTTCAGGCCATCATTTCTGTTAATTATTAGAATATTGTACTAATCCTGTTTTCTATTTTCTGAGATCTGGGAACACGGCGACATTGCTACACTAAGGTCAGATGATCAGACACAATGTAAACAAGTCAATCATTTAGCCAGATTATCTACCACGTTATGACAGGGTAAAGTAGACAAGCATTAATCACTCAGTGCACACAAATATTATGGTAACTATGGTAAGTATAACACATCAAAAATGAGATAAATGGTGGTGAATGTTTATAGTTTGCCTGATAATTGGTGTTTGTTTCTCTTCCAAACACGTTTGACTAATCTGGGGATTTGTTTAAAAAGGTATGATCATGTGACTACTTGTGTTTCTTGCCCCATCTGACTTCAACTTAGCAAAGTTGCAATGGGTCCAGATTTTTATGAAAATGAAAACATCTGAGAAGATTAATCTGAATGTTGGCGTAAATCCCCTATGATGTGAATGATGGCCAAGACTATGAAAATAGGAGTCAATATGTAATAAACAAGAGTATTTTTTATGTAGCTTGTAATTTCAAAATCACACATATACACATGGACGGACAGTCTGAGGCATTAGCATATTGTGAGAAAACTGGGAAGAGTTCAGTTTGTGCCTGACAATGTTCCTCTGTCCACATCTGGTTAAAAACACTGCTCTCTGAGCCGACTCTCACACACTGTCCTCATCTGAACCCTGCCAAACTCGCACACTGCCAATGAGCAAAATACAAACAGAAATGAAGACACAAAGGATTTTAACCATGTAAGGTTGTTATGTGTCAGTGCTGGAAACTTTGGGTTGAGGTCCACCTGTGTCACAGGATCTTGCACCAATTACAGGACAGACTGTGAAAGTGAGAGAATGAGAGAGAAAAAGAGGTGTTTGCCTTCCTGCTTCTCTGCAGCTGCCTAAAAATGGAAAATTACCACACTATGCCCCACACGTGGCCCCCAACTGCCCCTAAGCCTCTACAAAGGAAGTGGTTTGACTGAGTGAGAGCTACAAGATGAAGCTGTCATCTTGCTCCTCTCTAGGTGTTGAGATTTGATGTGCTCAGGGTATCCATATGACTTTGTACATTGTGACAGCCTATTCATCTGTTTTCTTGTTCTAGAGCCGGTACACAACAGTATTTATCACTTCTAGAGGGGACTGTGCTGATGTAGTAAACTCACACAACTATGTTCAGATACACAGTAACTGACTCCTAAGTGACAGTGCTGTGCTGTGGAGGCCTGGTTTCTGCTTCCTGAATCTAAAAACTGTAACTCCACCCTTAATCACATGTTCCAGCCACCTGACCAGAAATAGGAAGGATTAAGGAGAGCACATGCCATGACCAAATGGCGCACTGTAGCATATGATGTAGACTACTGCTATTTCCAGTTTGTAACCAGAAACATTAAAATGCCTGTCACTCTTTTAGCTGTGCTCCATCTATGTGTCTGAATTCTAACCTCCAGGCTTCCACACCTCTATGTTCTTACCTTTAGCGAGTCGAAGCAAGCGATGACCCGTCCATTGTCCACCTGACAGCTCTTGGCAGGATGAGCAAACTTGCACTCCTGGTCAGACCGTGAGCATGTGCCCCTCTGGAACTCCCTACATACCTCCAGTGTCAGCCACTTTGTGTCACGGATATGTGCTATGTTCATTGCCATGGCAACACGCTGGGAAAGGGTATCCAAGCTCAGATCTGTTCACGCTTGAATAAAGTACCTCTAGTGTTTTAATCCACAACTTTAAGGTCTTTTTTTGTTTGTTTATTGTTGGTATGGTTAAAGTCTGTAACACTTGTGTATGATGATGAAATTAAACATTCAGAAAGGAAAGTTCCTATCGATTGAGAGAGCTCCTTGTCCAGAGTGAAATGTTACAGGACGATGTTTCTCTGTTGATGTTATTGGATCATTTTCCTGATCAACCAACCTCTGACAAAGTGATTATATCCACGAGACAGCTGAGCCTAATAATTAAGCTGCCACTCTTGACTTGAAATTTCTCTCTCGCTGTTTATTGCTTGCTTAACGGTCTTATCTGCAGCACTGTAAAGCCAAAGTGGCAAACAAATGAGCAGGCCAAACCCAGAGCCTCTGGTTAGGTGCAGTGGAGCAGGCAACAATGGTGATAGCCTGGGTACTACACAAAGGTTAAGGACACTGAGGACCGAGTGGAGGCTTAGAGGGTCAAAGGCGAAGGTTAAAGGCAAGGTGGGTGAGATGCTGCATGAGCCTGGTGGTATGTTGGGCTGCTGTGGTAAGGCTGGTCAGCTGGTCAAGAGCAGCTGGCAGTGGGGGGAGTGTCGTGAGGAGAGCTGAGGCTGGAGCCCGGCTGCGAGGAGTGGATGGCGATGGTGGTGGATGGATAAGAGGGTCAGAGCGTGGACTGCGAGGAGGGTGTGGTCGCTGTCCTTGTACTCGTGTTACTGTGGCAGCAAGCGAGCGTACTCGTGTTCCGGTGGCAGCAAGCGAGCGAGGTGGGGGGGGAGGGTGGAGCTTCAGCTGTAGAAGCAGGTCAAAGCTGCAGCAGACATCAGGGAAGGCACTTCCTCTGGGGAGAGAGAGATCGAAAGCAGGGAGAGACAGAAAGAAAGATTTTTCTGATGATACATGTCCAAAGAAAATTTCCAGGTTTATTTCCTTTCATTTATCTTTCATGGGATGTTTCAACCTGCAGCATTTTTAAAGTCACGCCACTGCTAATCTATTCAGCAGTGGGAATGAAGAATATGTAAAAATGTCAGAAATGCAGGGGTTTCAGCTAAAACAAATAAAACCTTCACCCTCCCTGTGCTCTAAACACACATGGTGCGCATACACACACACACACACACACACGCACATACCAAAATGTACAAAAGCAGCCATTCACTAATGTCTACCACTACTGGTTAATGCAGAAGAATCAGATTAAATCCTATATCACTTACATTCACATACAGCAAAACCAGCCACTGCAAAAATGTTTAGAGGTGAGAGAAAGAAAGAGAGTGAAAGCAAGGAGGAAGTTGAAGCAGGGCATAAGGGAGATGAAGTTAGTCATTTCCCTTCTTGCAAGGCGGTGTGAGAGTGAGAACCAATAAGAGCTAGCAGAGTTGCAGCAACATTCTGGGCTGAGTGCCAGGTGAGTGCAGGGGGTGGAGCAAAGAGGAGGCTGACCTGCCTGGTGCTGGGCAAGGAGAGAGAGAGAGAGAGAAAGGCTGAACCAAACACGCTGCTCACTATATCTGTGACTGCCTGATTTCTCACAAACAGACGTCTTTCAAACAAAGAACCTTTCATGAGCCTAGATAATGTTATTCAATGTCCAAATAAGAAGTGCCATCATCATCATAGCCACACTGTGATGAGCCAACATAGATGTGAACTTCCTGCTGTGACAAAATCAGGTTTATTATTTCATGTTCATTTATCACATACAAAAAAAGACTAGTTTTTTTTTTTTTTTTTTTTTACAATTGCGCAATACTGCCAGTGGTTTTTATTTCTACTGAACCCATGGTACAAAGCTTGCTAGGGGAATGTGAATGACTGGGTTCCCCGGGGGCCCATTCTGCTCTTATCGCACAGGCAGGGTAACTCACCACACCCTATGTAGAGAAATCGCTGTACCCAGAACAGCTTGTGCACCTTCAGCAATGCTACGAACCACTGCTAACTTTACAGCACTGCAATACTGCAACGCACTATATCAGAGCCCTGCAGCAGTGCAGCCCAGGTCATGATGACCCAGCAACATGGATCTATGTTGGAGAGAAATAGAGAGAGGAGGAGGAACCTGCTTGGTTTCACCTTGGATGACCTCTACAATAGAAATTTTAGCAAATGACCTTTGGAATGCTAGCATAATCATAACAGAACTGCTACAACTGCCCTACCCTCACCATACACACCTTTAGGCACATGCATAAACACGCAAATGATCTTCCATGTCAAGGACTTTAGGCAGTAGACTAAAATAAATTATATATCACCTCCCTGTTTAATATTTTCAAATGACAGCTCATGGCATTTTATTTTTTTTAATCAAAGAAGTAATGTCTCTTTGCCTCTCATGACAGAACATTTTTAATTAGGAGAAACTGAAATGAATATCTTGTTTGGGTGTGAAACAGGATCAGCATACGCCATGCCGTTTTTATGTTTACATAACTTAGGGCATGTTTCTATCTCCATAAAGTTACTCGTTCATCTTTTTATGTCAAGTCAGCCATGTTGAATCTTTGTGTAGTTCCCTATAAATATCATATAATGTTGATGTTACAGCTATTTATTGCTACAGAAACTACACAAATATACTTTGTAATAATGTAAATTCAGGTGACTTGACGACCATCTTAGCCATAGCTGGACACAAACTAATGAGATAAAACACAGACACCTATGTTTATATATACATACATTTTTTTTATGGAAGTCACCAGGGACTATCTTCAATAAAATGAGAGAATGTGATGACCTGAAGCATGAAAAGCTGACGCCCCCTGCATTCTGTCTGGCTGCCTAATCTGTTTCTATGGTTTCTATTAGAGTCAGACAAGCACACATCTGTGAGAGAGACGATGTAGTAAGGACTTAAGACAGGGCCAGTGATAATGAGGGCTCATTATGATCCATCATGTCTGGACATGAGCATCCTTCCCCTATTGATTTTATCTCTAAGGTCTTTCTTGCCTGTATGCCACTCCCTCTGTCAAATTCCATTTTAATTCTCAGTGCTCTTTGTGTCAGAGGTATCCATTTAAAAACAGATGACTTTTTAATATGATCTATTTCTCTCCTCTAGCTACAAAATCTCTAGTGTTTTAAACGATGGAGCTTTGATGTCTTTGGTCTTCCTGTCCCCCCACCCAAAACTCCTTTGCCTTTGTGCCCTTAATGTGACTGTCTGGCCTGCATTCTCTTTCAGCATCCTCACCGGCACTCCGTCGGACTCCAAGGTCTTGTAAGCTGGTGCAAGGTCAGCCGTACCGGAGGAAGGGAAGATGGCGAGAGAGAGCGCGAGAAACACTTCCTATCACCCTTTAGGACGCATGGTAGAAACATTACATGGCTGCAAGAAGAGGAAGTGCGCCTTCAGTATCAGCACATCAGCTCATAGTCATGTGACACCAGCATATGCTACAACGGCAAACAAACAGTTTCTAACATGTAACGCAAGACTGCCCATCTTTTACTTGCTCTTAAATGAGTTGCAAAACAAATATTTTCTCTCCAAATTAAATTCACTATTGAAATCCACCCTTTTGCCTTCACCAAAAGAGCAAACTAGGAATAAAAACCTGCCAACGGCTGACACAGTGGACTGTGATAGATGGTGCTCAGACATTACGATTACAAAGTTTTCTTGAACATAGAGAGCTGTTTTGTTATAAAGCCATGTTTCATCTGAAAAGCTACTGTAGAGCAATCAAAGTAACATGTTAATCTGGGCTGGTCCCGATGCTGTCATTGTGACTAACTGCTAAGAGGGTGTGGTTCACAGTTATGATAAGACTTCCTGAAAAATGACAGGGTGGCGTATTATTAGTCTAGTTTAGCAAAGCTTAACACCACAAGTCATGCATTGCTGGAGGCTGTATAAGAAAATAGCAAACGAGGGTTAACTAATGCTCTATGAGAGTAACTTAAGTAAAATACAGATATGCTACTTGTTATAATGCAACATCTGCTACATGACAACCTAATAAATCATAGCTTCTAGCCTGAGTCTCTATTTTCAGTTTTGACTGCAGGGAAAGAACCGTTCTTTCTCTTGGGTTTGCTGCTGTTCAGTAAAAGGAGTGGTTTCAGAATACTGACAGAGGTAGAGTGGCAGTTGTGGGTGACAGTGTGCTGAGACAGGTCATAATGGTGGAGGGTGCTGGAAGAAATGCAACACCCCAGACCCTGCTGCTGCTCGATGTGCTCAGAATATAGCGTGGCAATAAATCCCTCACTGACCTTTACATACACACTAGTGCATGTGTGTCTAGAGTATACACACACAAGCTGTGTCTTGATTTTTGTCATACTGACACACACATAGATACCGAGGGCTATTACTGTATCCACCATCGTCCATCTATACCACATAACTCTCCAAGTAAACTGCGTTTCCTTTGGTGATGAGACTTTTCCTGCTGGTTGAGAGATTGCACCCGGTAAGGCCTGCATAAAATGAACGTAATGGCTAGGGCAAGAGTGCATTGCACTAAAAAGAAATGATAAATAAATACTTTATTTAAGATTGTATTTTTGAGGCTGGTTTCTTATGAGTAGTGGTCAGCTGACATTGACAGCCACACTACACAGGGCCCTGCTGTAACAAAATCCTGCTAATTCCAGTCATCCTCACCCTATCATCATTGTAATTTGCATTGCTCTCACCTTTCTTGTCATTATCATCATGTCATTGTCTCTTCCCATCTCATCGCCCCTCTTACTTTTACTTAATTTGTTGTTAAAGATTAAATAACATGGTTCTCTATGTTAGTTTTAGGCAAGGAACACACAATAAACAATGCCTGTTTATTCCTCTGAGAGCAAACCTGGGGGACAAAGAGCTCTCTTGTTTAGTATACATGGACAGAGCTATGCACGCACACACACACACAAAAACAAAAGACACAAATGCAAACCTATACAAACCTCTGTGTGTCCTGACACTGAGTATTCTTAAGCTGTGGTGAATATCTGATTGTATGCAACACTGCACCTTTGTGTGCGCATGTGTGTAAGGATGTGGTGAAGTCAACGGACAGTAAGGATAATGGCTGGCCTTGTGGTTTAATGAGTGGCTCATTGGCTCACATTTATGATGTCTGTGTTAGCATGCTGAGACATAGGCTAATTTCTATATATACTGATTGGTGATACATGTAAGAGAGATCCGAATAAATGAGTGGAGAAACATAAAAAAATGTACAGTTTATGAATAATAGCAAGTTGTGAATTGTATGCTAAGACAATCTAAGATGAGGGAATAGACTGTACTTTTGAGGAATAGCATTCATACCTTCAGTTGAGTTTAGAAAAGTGGCAAATCTATGCCATATTGTATTGACGCTGTCCACGCAGATCACTGTGGACCAACACCTTACTAAAGAAGTGGTTTGTGTTATTTCGTCTGCTTTTATCTGCTTCTAATATCCCAAGGTAAACAGACCTAGTGCAGTTACAGTGACAGAACCAGGGGCTAGATAGAAAAGTACCTAGAAAGAGACTGTGAGTGAAAAAATGAGACTACTGGGGCAGGGATGTCTTACTGAATATTATACTGCTTGTCTCCTATTTGAGAGATGGACACGTTTAAGACATCAGGGGTCAGAATCAGAAGCCGATGTCAAATGGGGTGAAAAAATGAACTTGTGTTGACATAGATACCTCTGAACAGAACAGCAAAAAAGAAGAAAGGAAATGAAACTCTTATGATATACTCCACAAACAGCAGCTTCTCCCTGCTTATTAGCACTACTGTGTAGTTCAGATACAGGAGAACACTTTACATTATTACTGGTTGCGTGATCTGAATAGAAGCAGGTATGTTTAAAGGCAGGTTAAAGACTTAATGAGTTACTGGTGTAATAAGGAACTGCATCCCCCACACTTGCTGAAATGTGGTCATAACAGAGTAGGAACATACAGAGAAGCTGCTGAGTAATAAAGGCTTAACCTGTCAGTGCCGATTCAGTCATGCACATAATCCTGTCTGTAGGGCAGATCATAGATCATAGACAACATGCATTAATGCAGAGCAATTTGTACCTGAATCAACAGGCATATACAACCATACACAGAGTTCCTGTGATCTTTCACATTATTAGCTACTTTACACTGACAGCAACAGTACGTTCCGCGGGTTTCTGCTAGATAGGAAGTGACAGTCTACCTGCAGCAAGGCCGCCATGGCCATTGTACAAAGTCCCAACAATGCAATCTGCCACACATTTGTCTGTGTTGTACATGCTCGCATTTGTGCACATACTGCATGTGTGTGTGCTACTGTCTGAGCCACCCCGAATCCCTGTTAAGTCACAACAACAACATTCCTCATGATCACCCCAACCACGGACACACCACGAAGAGGAAACCCAGAGCGGCGAGGGGGGGAGGAGGTGGAGAGGGACAAAAACAAGAGAAGAGGGAATGAAGGCTAGAGTTTAAAGCTCTAGACCCATGATCCAGAATAATGCCTTGCTGTTATTTAGACAGTTTTTAAACTCTACGAAAGACTGAATGGCTGCCAAAAGCTACGAGTATGGCCCAGACGGACAACCGTAACTCCTGAGAGAAATAATAACATTACAGGGCAATCTTACACAATCTCACAAAGTCTTTATGAAGTAAGAAACTACTTACTTTCACTCCAGTATAAACATCGAGAAATAAAACCCCTCCATTTACTGGGTCTCCTTCTCCCTGTTTCTCTCTCGTTCTTGCCCCTCTTTCCTTGTCTTCAACTTCTTCCTCTCTCTCTCAGTTACTCCCCCTATGTCAGACGCATGCAACCACTTACTTAGTCAGACACACACACACACACAAATGCACACACTCAGACAGAGTCAACCTCTCACACACTCTCTCCTCGCGCGACCCAGAATACTTGGCAAGCTTCTACTGTACTGAAATACTGTGCTCACCATATAAGGTAGGAGCAGCTTCACATGTCACACATAATTTACATGCAGCAGGGCGGGAGTCTGCCTTAAGCAGCACACACACGTAGGAACACACATATACACATGCAAAACCATGCTTCCCCCTTTAGGCTGATGCATCATGGGAGGGAAGAGGTAAAAGAAAATCAAATTTTATCGTTCTCCTGGTTAACCAAGCCCTGCAGGATAGCTCCTAACATGTTCAATGTTGAGTCAGATGGAGGGAATGAAAGCTGAGTGGGCGATCTATTGATCCTCTCCACTGCTTCCTGGAACAACCGCGGCCCTCCAAACACATACACAAGCACACACGCCAACAAATTTTATTGCTAACTAGCGCTACCCTCAGGAAGTAGCTATTGTGTGACTGTCTGCTTTGAGCCAAGAATCTGTCTGTGTGTTTCTGTGTGTGTACGTGCATGTGTGCCTATATCTACAAAACAAGCTGTAACAAATAGATGTTAACCCTGTGGCCCACATATTGAACACACACACACACACACACACACACCCCAACACACACACACACAGCTGACACTAAGGCAAACAATCCCCATATCTCTCTACCTATGCTCCACTGTACCGGCACTTACTTTGGAAAGTAAAGACTGCAGCACACACAGGAGGAAAGATCTAGATAAACCACTGAAACAAGTAGAGGGTTATGAACAGGGCTCTTACCTCTCACATTGCTCTCCAGTTTGTGTGTGTGTGCTTCCGCGTGTCGACTGACTCTGTGTGTCTATGCGTGTGTTCAGACAGGCCACGACAGTAGACCCCCAGGCACCGGCTGGACCATTCTCAGGCAGGCAGGCAGAGCACAGCAAGGCAGAGCGAATGGCAGAAGAGAGGCAAGCGAGTGAGCGAGTGAATCAGCAGCGAATGAGTAGGGGAGCTGTGCAGAGCAGAGCACCAGAGAGAGAGAGAGAGAGAGAGAGAGAGGAGGAGTGTTTGTCTGTGTGAGTGTGTGCGTTGCAGCGTTGGCTATGTGCGCTACTGTCTCCCCTCCCCTGGCTCTTGAAGTGGCTGAGCTGAACTGTGCTGAGACGGGCTGGGCTGGGTCTTTACCGACTCCCCAGACTCTGGATCGTCTGTCTGCTGCCTGAGGAAAGTGGCGCTCGCTGGGCGGCAGTAGCAACAGCTGTGGAAGAGGAGGAGGAGGACGACGAGTAGGAACAAGAGGAGGAGGAGGGAGTCTTGACTGCACTGGGCATACAGATCCTGCAGTCCCCACTCCCTCCCTCTCTTCCTCACTGAAGGAAAGCCACACCCCCCCAAAACAACACCAGGAAGTGCTGGCTCAGTTACAGAAACACTGCCCTTCCTTATCCAGTGAGACTGAGGAAGGAGAAAAGGAAGGGAGAAAGGAAAGACTGGGGAAACATAGTAAGATAAAGAAATTAGTAGCAGGATAAACATACAAACTAGGTAAGAACACACAGAGTACAGATGGGCATCAGAGGCAAAAGCTTTAAAATATGACCAGAAAGGAAAGAATGCAACAGAAACAAGTGACACAAGGGACTTGATGAGGTAAGGAATAATGAGGAGAAAAACAGCCTTTGGAAAGAATGGATCAAGGGGTGTGGAGGAATGATTTTTCAGGGAGTTTGCGACAGATTAGGTCTGGCTTCTGTTCAGATACTCTCTCTCTCTCTCTCTTTCTGCTTTTCTGCTGTGGCATGCAACCCTCAGACAGTGCAGCCTCATGCTCACAGCTCTTGCCCACACTATAAGAGCAAGGCATGCTGAGCTACACTCAATCCAACTGGACTCCCCTGGTAAGTGGTTGTACATTTGGAGTAACATACACCATGTTAACACACTGTGTTCATGACTACTCACACAGATGCAAGCCTTTGCAGTTTGGTTGCATGTCAGCAACATATTATAAAAAGCTAACCAATACAAGACAACTGCTGCTGCCAGTATTACTATTGATTCAAGGCTTCTGCTGCCACAACTCCAGTATCCAGAGGAAAGCCAGGGATGCTAAATAAGCCTCCAAGAATTTGATTTGGACCTGATGCTGCAATATCCGGTAGCCATGGAGATAGTGGCCTTGGCATCTGCAGGAATCTTTACAGATTTTAATCTGTGTGTTGGCGCCAAGTGTTTTGACTGAGTGATCCTATTGTGTATGACCCACTTTAAAGGAGAGAGTTAATTCATAACGCTGCATGTGTTTAGAATATTGAGAATAGCTTTGCAAAGTATTTTATTTAATAAAAAAAGCAAATTCCACACACTAAATCCATTTCATCTGGATTATTTGCATATACATGTAGTATAATAGTGACATATATATATATACACACACACAGACACACCAGTGCTCTCCTATGTAAATCTGTCATGCTTCAGCTGTCTTTCTGTTCCCCCTCTCTCTGCTGCACAGCTCTGTTTAATACAAAACTGGCGATAAGTCATCTCTAATTTACACAGCAGGCACTTAAACCCTGGGTGACAATCTGTGGTGGAGTCCCAGCTGCAGTGCTAACTCTTTAGCTAGTCAATATTCTGGTGCAATGCTTCTGTGCGCCCTGATTACAACGATCACACTGTACAGATCAGAAGAAAACAAAGATGTTATAGTAAATATTTTTCTGAGGTGATCAAACTTTGATAGACATTATTTAAAGTTCCCAACCATAATTCATCAGGGATGGAAGAATATCTATTTTGAACCAAGGAAACTCGTCCAGTATTTGTTTTTAATCAACAGTGCAATGTGTTTCATTGCCTATGAGTGGAAACAGCAGGTTGTTCCTACCTCCAAATGGAGTTTTCCTTGACCCATAATGAAACAACAGTGGTTGATGTTGTTCTGGCTCAACAGGAGACACTTTAGCAGCGTCTCCAAAGATGTGGACTCTGTGAAACTCTTGACACTGACGTGGAATTTCCCCTCTTCTACTGCAGCTGAGTGTACGTCAGTGCTTTGGCTCCTCTCTCTTTGTCTCTGCACTGCTAGTTTGTATTTTTTATTTTATCTTTTCATCACTTCCACTATGACTACATGTTAATTCCTCTATACTTCCCCTTGGAAAGAATCAAAACCACTCGACCATTTGTCATAATCCACAGGGCCATATTCCTCTCATCCAATTAGAGGCATGAGTGCAGAGCCAAGCTTTGTGGTTACCAGCAGATTTCCTCATTCAGTTTCCTTCTGCATATAATCTGATCAAATGTATAACAGGAGTCTATTTCCCTATTTTATTTCTTCTACTTCCTGTATATACTTATTTTACTTTATCAGCCTTATACTTGAACATCTTGCTCCACATGTCCCATATCTTACAGATAAGAGGAAGGTGTGGCTGGTGTCCTCTCTGGGAGATCAATGAGGCTGTAGAGTTGTTTAGGTATGGGCAAAGAGCAACAGGAATCAACATACATGGTTAAACTGTTCTCACACGTACCAATGCTAACTAACCGAAAACAGGAAGAGGTGTGTATATGTAGTGTAGTTTAGGGGGAATTCCACCTTTGTTACACATCAAGATCTAGTCATGGGGAGTACTAATCAGTCTGTCTTTTGTGACTTTAGAGTGACCTTTGTGAAGTCTAAGAAAGTAATCTCAGTAACGTCTCTATCAAGTTGCATTATGAGAGTTGAAGGACCCCTCAAGCTTGCACTCCAATATTCAGTACAGTCTAGCACACATGACCTGTCTGCCTCTCTCACCCTATCGACTTCTAACCCCTCACCTTGGTTCACCTTATTTTCACTTGCTCCACCCTGATGAATGCAACTTTCCACCTTTAAGCTTCCCTATCATCTCAGCGCTCTGCTATTTCCCAGCCCTCTGTAAATGACACTGGCTTGCTCATGTGAACTCTCACTCCACTGAGGAAATGTTCCAGAGCTTTTGTGTGCCAAACTCTGATGGCTCATCTATCACTAAGGCTGCAAATACGCATTACACTCCTATTACAGACCATCACAACAACAACTGCAACAGTACACAATCTCGCAGAAAGGCCCACAGCGGGGAGCTGCATTCAATGTTAGAGAGATTCACTATAGGTTATTTTGGAAGCTGCAGAAGAGAGAAGTGTGTGTGTGTGTGTTGACAAATACTCCTTTTTCAGAGTAAATTTGCAATCATTTTTAACTGCTGCATACTTTGTGGTTTTCTCTTAACTTATTTCCACTTTGACGCAGTGAGGGGAAGCAGGTGCAATTCAAGCTGTCAGGTTTGAAATACAGAAAGGGGAAATAGCACGCTGTCTTGTCCCCATCTGACACTGTGTGTGTGCGTGTGTGTTTGTGTATGTGGCATTCAAGCTTGAAGCTTATCTTGGAGATAAAATGAAACTGAATGGAAACACCCTTTGCAGAGACGTCTTTCACTCAAGCTTCCAGCAATTTTTCTGTCTCAATGTGGCCTACAGATATACTGCTGCACATACTATATATATATATTCTCCTTACATCTAAAACTTCTCGCACACCCTTCACTGCACAGAGAAAAACAAGACAATGCTGGATATATACTGGCTTTTCTCAGGCAAAGAAACTTTACCAAGTGTAAGAGAGAAGTAAGTGAGTAATAAAGAAACTAAGTATTTTAAGACACAAATAAAAACAACAAAACAAAGAAGACACACAGATTAATAGAACAAATCACTGGACTATGGAGTCATCGTTGGTTATCTACAGACATTAATCCTACAGATACAGACAGAAAGCTTACCTGTGTGTCTGTCTCTTGCTGACGTGCCACTAAGACAGATGAAACCACTTCGACACAGGTCACGCTAATGAAATGCATTGTGGGACTAACCCAACATCTTCATTTCTCTCTTCCTCTGCTTCTCTCACTCTACTCTCTCACTTTCATAATAGCACCTTCTGCTAGGCAACTGCCATACCACAAATGTGGTCAGGTTTACTGCGAACCATCACTGCGCAACATCAAGTCTCCATGACAACCAGTCCTTATCTCATTTGCATCTTCTGCTTGTATTATCTACTGATGCCAAATATGGTCAATGGTGTGTCGCGAGATTGTCCCCCGCCGCTCTCTGCATCCCCTTTTTATAACTTCCGCTGTCCCTCCTTTTTCAAACTGTGTACAAGCTTTGTGTTTAATGCATACATGTATACAGGCATGTACGCATTCTTGCAGTTTCTGAGTGCATGAAAAGAAGAAGTGCTCGAAAGATAAGGGGTGAAACAGCTTGGTAAATCAGGAAGTGCAGTGTTGTAAAGGCTGCGGTTGAGACTTAAAAAGCAAAGGGACTTGCAGTATGTTATCACAATCTCCCCACAGCAGGTACATCGTCACAAGATTTCACTTACCCCCTTCAGTTCTTCCTTACTGAAGTTGATGCTGGCATTTGGCCTCCTCTTCTTCCTCCCCTAAGGACTGTGACTATCAAACTTTCACTGGAATGTTGATCCAGGTCCCTGGAGCCCCCCCACACGGCAACACTCAGCAGCACTCAGCACCTGTCTCCGAATGCAAGCACACAGAAAGAGACACGGTCAATCACGCTGGACAGCACAGCAAAGGAGAAAGAACAGAGGAGAGTGGGAGGCTGACAATAAGCATTTTATCAGCACAAAAACAGAAACTAAGCAAGTTGAGCATTATGTGCAACACATAATGGCTAAAGCAATTCATTTGTTGAATGTAATATATTTTTGAACATATATATTAAAACAATTCTAAAATTTGGGCATATTTACCATAAACAAATATGGTCAAGACACACTGCATACTCAGTGTTATTGTATTTATCCAAATATGTGACCACATATTTCAAAAGTTCTGTCTGTTGCTTCATGTTGCAAACATAATGCTGCTTTTGCACTACTTCCTTGAAGCTACTGACATGCTCCATGAGAAATATGACAATTGTTTTACCATGAGCATAAAACAATAACAAAAACAAGTTTAAAAGGTGCATCTTCTCTGTTTAGCAACACACCCGACTTAAATTTGAAGTTAAATATCTATACACATTAGCCTATACAGTTATAGTAATCTGTCACCAAGACAAAGATGGAGGAATAATTCATTGATGCTTCATTTGCTGAAGGTTTATCAGATCCCTTTTTGTCTACTACCATAAACTGATCTCTTTTTGAACAGTGGCTCCAAACTAGGGGTCTGGACCCCATATGGAGTTCCAATATACTGTAACTGTGAAGGGTAACAACTTGACTAAAAGGATCTAAAGACACAATGGATACACATTCAGGCCGGCAAAAATCCATAAGAGAAATCAAGAAAGCATGAAAATGCCAAACATCAGAGAACCTTTAAAGTAAATCATATTTTTAGTTCAATTTCCTCAGTATGTTATCAAGAGATCCAACCTCACTTTCTTATCTTAAACTAGAAAGGTTGTGATCAGAGATCTCTCCATCTGACACTTCAGCTTACCCAGACAGTGCCTGGAGAAGCTCTGAGGTAGCATCAGGGACCAGCCAGGTCTCTCCCCCTACCCTCCACCCAAGGATGCAGGGCTGCTGGAACCTGGGGGATTGGAAGTCGATGAAACCAGGCCCAATTTAGCCTCCACAGCTCCACGAGCTGCCAGGAATCAGAGTGAGACTCCTTCCCTTTTTAGGGCTCCCTGGACACTGCAGTCTGCAAATGGCACTACTGCAATCCTATTTACACTAAAGAGCTGGACAGAGACATTCAGAGAGAGTGGGAGTGAAGGAGAGAGGTGAGAGTCAAAATTAGTTATACAAAAGTCCCATTTTAATTATCACCAAGGTCTAAAAGCTCATAACCTTGTACTGTGTTAACTAACAAATTACTCACACTGAAACCTGGACACTTTTACAACTAATCTTTAAACTACTTTCAGAAGATCTGAGTAATTAGGTGTGAAGAAGCTAATCAGAGCCTATACACTGTCCACTCAGCCAGGCCCTGTCATTGTGTCATGTAATCTGTATTAAGCCTGACTGCACAGAAACTAGATGCTGTGGGCCTGCAAGGGTATTTTTTCCTCCATCATGATTTCACACAAGTAAACATGTACCTACAAAAGTTATTTATTACTCTAACATGCAATACATTTGCTAAAAGAAAGCAGATTAAAACAGCAAAGTAAAATCTGCAACTCTGTGCACTGATGAAAGTGATAGACATGTCACTGTTCGTTGACCGTGGTAGCTCATGTATTTAAAATAAAAGGATTGGATGATGATTACTCACTAAGCCTTTACTCCCTCCCCATCCCTGTGTTTTCTATGACTATGTATTAATAAAGGCAGTTATCACATAAGTCAAGGTATAGTATGCACAATAGGATTATCTATGGTGGAGTACTTACTGTAAGAATCAGTTTCACCTCCCACCTCTTTCAGGGAGCACAAAAATACAGGGCTGCTGTTTTACTGCAAGTGTGTGGAATAACCTTGGCAAAGGCCAATTCAAACTGACATAATCCCATTAGTCTGTTCAAGGTCCCTGTCCGACCACCCTGCATAATGAAGAGATAAAGGCTACCAGTGCAATATCCATTAGTAGCTGTTTTTATAAAGACAATTATTCACGCTTCTTGTGTTACTGACAATTATTAATTCAATTAACCTCCCCTCATAGAAATCAAGGTGGTTGTTGAGACTTGTATATCAAGCCTCTACTTTATGTAAAACAAGCCCTGTCACCAACATGTATAGTGCAGGTCAAAATAGTGTGCAGGTCCTCTGAAATCCTTCAAGCATCTAACATCATGTATGTGAACAGTGACCTTAGGAACTGTGGTCCTGCAATCAGATAAAGAACACCACACACTATGAAGCAACAGGTGAAATAAACAGCACATTAAATTACAGTCTCTCTGATGGCATTTAAGCTGTGCCTGTGTTGCCAGTGGATTCAGATAACTGTCAGTCTGTCAATTGTACAAGACTGACTTAATAATCAACACCAAATCAGGAATCTGAGTGGGTTGTTTTAAACCACGTTTAGCTCTGAATCAATCATCCAGCTGGTCTGATAAATATTGATTATTTTAATAGTTAACATTTATGATGGATATCTTTTAAGAAAAAGAGCAGGATAGTTAGTTAGTTAGGATAGATAGTCAATTCACTTCACCTAATGCCAAAGTGAAATAGTTCTTTTTTTGTATAAAAAAACAAGGCTGGGTGAAATGTGATGAAAGACAAATACTAAATACACAGTATTGATTACGGGTCAGACAAATGATGGTTCGAAGTTAATTGAAGATGTGTCCTATATCATTCATCTGGTTCATACTAGTCATTAAGAGCGCTCTTCCTAAAGCATTTCCAATGTAAATCAATCAGTCAATCAACATTTATTTATATAACACTTAAACACAACTAAATGTGGACCAAATAAAAATACAATCTAAATACAATACAAATAAATCAGAAGATAAAAAGTAAACCACATGAAAAAAACACAAAATGTAAGTGAAAAATGTCAGGACTCCATTGGGCCCAAAAACCAATAGAAACAGATAAGTCGAGGAGACAAAATTCAAAATCCTCTATCAGTGCAAAATTGTCAACATATACTTGGACACAAACAAAACCCCAGACAGTATCCAGTTTCATAAACCATTTCAATAATTAATTATTACATTGACCAGGTAGTAACAATGCTTGATTGGACTGAGGGTAAGTACAGAAAAAGAGTTCAGTGGAAAACATTTTCTATACAATAAAAGACTCTCCACTTAGTAACCTAGCAACTGGTGAACTCAACATGGCACCTTTTCTAATTCTAAAACTAGCTAAGCTGAGAGCCAGACATAATTATATCTCTCCTCAGCCAATCACATTAGGGCCTGAGTCATAAATAACAGACTGCTCCCCTACAGAGCACCAGTCTGTGCCGAAAAGTCAACAAACAATTTTTCCAGAAGTGGTTCTTGCTCAGTACTGGATTCATCTTGCTCAGAGGAAGACAAAAACAGAGGCACGGACACAGAGGCCTATAGGCTTACAAGGAGAAAGAGAAAGCCAGATAGAGTAGACAGGAAAAGGAAAACAAATGCAGCCTGTGATTACTGAGTCATAATGAAGGCTGTTGGATGAGCCTGTGGATATGAGCTATGTCATTAAAGAGAGTGCTGAGTGGCTGCAAAACCTACAGGTTTCATTTTGAAACACTGACATGCTGAAAGATAAGGACACAGTGTTAGACAGTCTTTTTGTCTATTACAACAAATATTAAACCAACAATCTCAGTCGCAGAAACTCTGTGTTACCCTGTGTGTGTTTTTGCCAGACAGCTCTGTAAACAATTTAAGTCTCTGGGGCCTTGTATTTTGATTTTACGAACAATACTGAATTTTAATTCAAGATATTTTCACCAGGGTGATTTTATATGTCACTGAGATAGGGCAACAAGTTATGGCCCCAATTATGATGAGATCTGATCACATGGCTGGAAGAGGACAGTGGTGCACTTGTTGCCTCTGGGTGATGAGAGATGGAATTGGGACTGGGTCTGCAAAATAAGACTAATGTTACAAAGTAATAGAACACTTGTTTTGCTTGAGGGATGTGAGAATTTATCTAACCTCTCAATGTCATACTACCATTGTCACTGCGACAAGTCACAGTGACAAAATGGCTGCATGGTTACACAATGACAAAGCAATTTCTGAATGATCAGTGAATGTGTCTTTTTTTTAAATTAGCTGTTAAGCCTTTTGAAACACCCATTTTTACTGTGTCTGCTCTTATCAACAGATATACCAACCGCATCAACATGTCATTTATTGTCACATATTGTCTTAGATATGTAAACATGCCTGACAGAAGACATCCATTGCATTTATCACAAAATAAAAGGAGATGTGCCTTATATTTCTCTTGCCTTCCTATTTTATTTGTTTTATTTAGCACCTCTCACATCAGCAGGTGATAATTACTTGACTTCAGTGTGAAGCATCCAGTGAGTCATAACCTTATCCCTGTTTGTGACATAGAAAGCTTACATACAGTAGGTGCACATCTTGTCTTAGATTACTACTAGCCTTTTACAGACTGTTTCAGCCAGATACATTGTGTTGCTATGGTGGCATTTACTTCTTGACTATAGTCTTTGTTACTCTGAGGAACATAACATTTTGGGAGAAAAACAATTAATGAATACTTTACATTTGTGAGACTTTATGTTGTGAAAAAGATCAGCTATAGACAGCATTTGCCTTTATAACCTTTGCTTCGACTGTGATTATAACAGATAATACACATTATGTTGTGTAATCTTGTTATACACAGGATCTTCTGACTAACAGTTGGTAAACCAAAAATTATATCCTGGGTAACATAATTATATTAGGTCTTAGAGATACCTTTAAAACAAGAATAAACTAATTTCTTCAATCTCTGCATGCAAATGTGAAGAACAAAAGTGTTCCCATAGAGGTGAGGAGATTGTATGTGATGCTACAAGCAGAACAGCCTGACCCCCTATCTCAGCTCCCAGAATGTTTTCTTCAAGCCTCCCTATTGGGATTCTGTTAGCCTACATTCCCTGCTTCAAGGTCGGCAGCAGTGTCAAATTAAATTACTTGTCCCATTTTGTGGCGTTGGCGCCGGGTCAATAGCAACTTGACTAAAATGATGAGTGCGGGATTCTGAAGGGAGCTGCATTTGTCCTGACCCTCTGGTGTCACATTTGCAAAACAAGTAGCAGCGATGAAGCGCTAAAATCAAAAGCAGTGTATTAAATTCTGCTTCTGTAGTCACTTGCAAAAAAAGAATTACCTCTGCTTTCAATTGCACCACTTCATACTGCTGTCCTTTGGGTTTGCTGCTGGACATTGTCATGTGCTAACACATGGAGAGAAGCTTCAGTAAATTAGGCCTAATTTTGTTAAATTTACACAGCAGCACATGCCACCTGCTGGGCATCTTTGATATGACATATGGTCAACATAAGTAAACATTACATTACATTTTTTTTATTGTTGTTACTGTGATTGAAAGGGGTGTTTTTAAGTGAGACCAAACACACTGATACCACAGTTACTTTAACATTACTTTAAACAGACATGTTTCACTCAGTATAGTCTTTATTTCCATATCACAATACTCTTCTGTCATACAGGCTGTCAGCATTTCATGTTAGCTATCTTTACAGCAGCATGTGCAGTTTATCTCTCACTTGCTGAGAGGGTTGTTATCAGCAGGCAAGCAGCTTACAGACCACTCTGTGGAATGGGAGGAACTTAAAGTATGTCATGTATCAAAAACAGGCAAACTGACAACTTGATCTGTGTTTCACAGTGGCCTATTTGCAATGTCACTAAGCAAAGTTATAAACCAAATCAATAAAGAGTTCATAGTGACAAACACATCACCAAATATTAAACAGAAATGTTTAATTTAACCTAATACAGTAATGTGCAATTTGCTCAGTCAGATCCACTGAAAGTGACAGATCAACACAGAGCTCACCCTCTGCAATGGCAATAAAATGATTTCTTAACACACACATTAAGGTTGCAGCTGTTGCATGCCCTGTGTCAAAACAGCTCACATGGTGCTGTCCTTATTGTCAAAATCAGAGAGGATGACACTTGAGTAAAGCAATGGACAACATTTCTCATCTAATTTTGTAATTATAGACGGGTGCCAACTTAAAGGAAAAATCTGAATAAACAAGCAGTTTGGTCTCTTCCAGGATAATATAGTCCCCATCTATAGGACGCTGAATGGTTTGATGAGCATGAAAATTATGAACTTGAGGACTTGGAGAATCAATGGCAAGGAGCATTATATAATCTACTATTATTAGCACTGTGTATTGATAATTAAATCAATAAAAGTAGAAGCCAAGAAATATACTCATTCGAATATAAAGTACATGTGTGATAGGTAATTCTGAGTTTTTGTATCTCCTCTCTAAGGTAGATTCTTGGTTTAATATTGTGATAGCATATTAACAGTGAGTAGCCTAATAGCCCTTTTGTTTAAAAAAATAAATAAAATATTTACAACAAATGTTGGTGTCTTTTCATCAGAGTTCCGTGGACTCACCTATCTATTGCCATATTTTGTCCTGCTCTTGCTCAGAGAGAGTCCACGTGACTGTTAGATATTCAGTCTTCCAGTCAGCTGTTGGTCAATCATCGGATTTTGCAGCTGGTCATTAGTAAGTGAGGGGTGGACTGAAAAAGCAATAATTAAAATTAGCATGTTCAAACTAAACATATCGGACAATAAATATAGCTAGCTTATAACTGACTGAATGGGGGTTGTGTTTATTTTATGAAAAAGGTATTTTCTCTTGATGTGGTGGTTACCTGAGATAGCGTTGCCCTACTTGGTACTTTAACCAAAATAAGCAGCTTGTCCATGGTACTTTACTGTCAAAACAATCCAACCAGTTCTCTTAATACTTTTGTCGAAATGTTGCTGTCCTAAATCCAAGTGTGCGATTTTCACAGACCTGTGGAATTCACCAGTTAATAGTCGCTTTGCTCTCGCGAGATTTCGGCGTTGCGCATTGAAGTACAGCGGTCCGCCATCATTGTATACAAGCTAACATATTATTAGCAAAAATCATTGGTAAGAGCGAGTGACAACAGCACAACAGACCGACCAAGTTCCCAGAGGGGAGGTCGCTGAATTTCTTTGCCGATTTCCTGGCGCAGAAAGCAAACTAGCAGCTGCCTTACATGAAGTCTTTAAGTCAACTTATAAACGAAAGTCATTTTAACTAATCATGTCCAACATTAAAGGCGGCAGCAAGAAGGACAAGATGAGGATAAGGGCCTTTCCTGTAAGTATTTACCTGCTTTGTAAGCACTGAGACGCTAACTACGAGAAGCGAGTCCCGGGGATGACATATCTTTATGCTAGCAATTATCTGCTAGCTAGCTGATCGAAAAAGAAAACATGCAGTTGTCAAATGGACAGTTGTTAGGGGGACAAATAACCCGGAGCTCGTTAACTATGGTAAAGCTCAGTTTTATAAGGATTGCATAGTTTGTTTTGGTTTGAAAATGTCATTGTCGTTTGACATGAGCTCATGTTAGCATTTGTAAGGAAATTTCTTCAGTAAGAGACTAGCGATACTAGCTAAGTAGCAGGCCTGAATGTCAGCAGACTTTGGCTAAGTTGCAGTCAGATAACAAGAATCAGTACGCTTGGTAACATTAAGGGCCTTCGAGTTCTGGTATTTCATACAGCGCGCATTTGGCTTAGACTGTTATCAATAGCGATTTAATTATTATGCAAGTTATCATTAGCTTAAGGGCCAGCGCAACTTTAGCCTTAGGCGAGACAACAATAAACATGTCAAAGCTAACGTGATTAGTTTATGTTGTTGACGTTGTCAGCCCAGTTGCCTACTAGTACAGCTGTTACACAGTGATTTCACTAACATTCCCTGATCACCGCCCTGAATTGCATATAAACACACTCAATCTCTATTATAAATAGAGTTGTCAGGTTGTGGAATATGGGGTCTATCAAAGACTTGCAACACCCACTCAACCTAACCTAGTATAAGTGTATGAAACACAAATGCTTATTCTTACATTTAATATTCAGGATTATGAGTGAGTGTCAGGCAGAGTGAGGCAGTGAACATCAGCCAATTTAGATTACAACGGAAGCCCCTACCAGGTATGCTAAGTCACTATAGTATGTTATTAAAATTTAGAGTTGAATAATAATGAATCTTATTATCTTTGTATTTTTCATAGCTGTTGAGACATACTTATCCTGAGATCTGAAAAACTGACCAATAATTTGATTTCGACAGGATGCAGTTAGGTAAGCTGTCCAGATAGTTACTTTCTACTAGGGATGTACCAGTATAATATTTTCTGTCCTGATACAGATTCGAAACCTCCTCAACTTCTGCTGGTATTGATTACTGATCTGATACCACTGCTTTCTTACTTATGAATTTCAATTTTTATACTTATTGCTTGGGGTATACAGATTGGATTTGATTTATTCTTTCAAGCATGTAAAGACAGTTGATATGTCAACACACATAATTTTACACATATCCAACAAATGCTAATCCAATATCAATTTGCTTATACCTAGTACATGCTTGAATGGAGTAGGAAGAAGTCAGACTTATCCAGTCCTACCCCATGACATCATCAATGGGCAATTTGACAGAAATCTCAGTAAATCATGCTAGAAATAAAAGGTTCCGTCTCAAAATAAAATTGAAGATGGTGGAAGGTTAACTATAGTTATATGTTTTTAATTTTGTGTCATTAAGTTGAACTTATCAAAAGTGACATAT